ACCAGCCACTGTCCAACACCACCAACCACTGTCCAACACCACCAGCCACTGTCCAACACCACCAGCCACTGTCCAACACCACCAGCCACTGTCCAACACCACCAACCACTGTCCAACACCACCAACCACTGTCCAACACCACCAACCACTGTCCAACACCACCAGCCACTGTCCAACACCACCAGCCACTGTCCAACACCACCAAGCCACTGTCCAACACCACCAGCCACTGTCCAACACCACCAGCCACTGTCCAACACCACCAGCCACTGTCCAACACCACCAGCCACTGTCCAACACCACCAACCACTGTCCAACACCACCAGCCACTGTCCAACACCAACACCACCAGCTACTGTCCAACACCAGCAGCCACTGTCCAACACCACCAGCCACTGTCCAACACCACCAGCCACTGTCCAACACCACCAGCCACTGTCCAACACCACCAGCCACTGTCCAACACCACCAACCACTGTCCAACACCACCAACCACTGTCCAACACCACCAACCACTGTCCAACACCACCAACCACTGTCCAACACCACCAGCCACTGTCCAACACCACCAGCCACTGTCCAACACCACCAACCACTGTCCAACACCACCAGCCACTGTCCAACACCACCAGCCACTGTCCAACACCACCAGCCACTGTCCAACACCACCAGCCACTGTCCAACACCACCAACCACTGTCCAACACCAGCAACCACTGCCCAACACCACCAGCCACTGTCCAACACCACCAGCCACTGTCCAACACCACCAACCACTGTCCAACACCACCAACCACTGTCCAACACCGCCAACCACTGTCCAACACCACCAACCACTGTCCAACACCACCAGCCACTGTCCAACACCACCAGACACTGTCCAACACCACCAGGTACTGTCCAACACCACCAGCCACTGTCCAACACCACCAACCACTGTCCAACACCACCAGCCACTGTCCAACACCACCAACCACTGTCCAACACCACCAACCACTGTCCAACACCACCAACCACTGTCCAACACCAATAAAGTTTCCTGGTTTTGAGGGAAAAAACTCAGCCTAAGTTCGCCCGTTTTCCATTAATTTCTCCTCTGTTGGGGCTGAGTTTCTCTCCTATTTAATAAGAACTTCTGGATGGTGTTTACATTGAAGTGACCTATATTGTTTTTGTTTGTATATCTAAGTGTGTGCCAGAGGTGTTTGTTGCTTTTGTTTGTTCTTGTTTATGGTGACTCTCGGACGCCAGGAGTCACTACGTTCCGGGTTAGGAACGTAGCTCGACCATGCAAGCATTCACACACACACAGATGAGGAGACATAATCACTACCTACAAAATTATTAGAGGAATTGACAGGGTAAACAGTTTAACACTGTTGATACGCGTACGAGGGGACACAGGTGGAGACTGAGTACCCACATGAGCCACAGGGACGTTAGAAGGAACTTTTTTCAGTGTGGGAGTAGTTAACAAATGGAATGCATTAGGCAGTGATGTGGTGGAGGCTGACTCCATACACAGTTTCAAGTGTTGATATGATAGAGCCCAGTAGGCTCAAGAACCTGTACACCAGTTGATTGACAGTTGAGAGGCGGGACCAAAGAGCCAGAGCTCAACCCCCGTAAGCACAATTAGGTGAGTACAAATAGGCAACTAGGCAAGTACACACACACACACACACACACACACGCACACACACACACACACACACACAGACACACACGCACACACACACTCACACACACACACACACATACACACACTCACACACACACACACACACACACACACACACACACACAGACGAGGATTGTAGGATCCTCCAAGAGGACTTAAACAGGCTGCAGAGATGGTCAGGGAAATGGCTACTGGAGTTTAACACCAGTAAATGTAAAGTTATGGAAATGGGATCAGGTGACAGGAGACCAAAGGGACAGTACACAATGAAGGGGAACAGCCTACCTGTAACGATTCGAGAAAGAGACCTGGGAGTGGATGTGACACCTAATCTAACTCCTGAGGCACATATAAATAGGATAACGACAGCAGCGTACTCTACACTGGCGAAAATTAGAACTTCATTCAGAAACCTAAATGAGGAAGCTTTTAGGGCGCTTTACACTGCCTACGTGAGACCCGTCTTAGAGTATGCCGCGCCATCATGGAGCCCCCACCTGAAGAAACACATAAAGAAACTGGAGAAGGTTCAGAGGTTTGCGACGAGGCTTGTCCCAGAGTTACGAGGGATGGGATATGAAGAGCGGCTGAAGGAACTGAACCTAACGACACTAGAGAAAAGAAGGGAGAGAGGAGATATGATAGGGACATATAAAATACTCAGGGGAATTGACAAAGTGGAAATAGATGAAGTGTTCACACGTAATAATAACAGAACGAGGGGACATGGGTGGAAACTGGAAACTCAGATGAGTCACAGAGATGTTAGGAAGTTTTCTTTTAGCGTGAGAGTAGTAGAAAAATGGAATGCACTTGGGGAACAGGTTGTGGAAGCAAATACTATTCATACTTTTAAAACTAGGTATGATAGGGAAATGGGACAGGAGTCATTGCTGTAAACAACCGATAGCTAGAAAGGCGGGATCCAAGAGTCAATGCTCGATCCTGCAAGCACATATAGGTGAGTACATATAGGTGAGTACATATAGGTGAGTACACACACGCACACACACACACATACACACACACATACACACACACACACACACACACACATATTAACTTCAATATCCAGAGTCGAGGGCGCAAGTATTAAAATAATTCATGCGACAAACAACTGAACAAAGGAAAAAGTCTTACATAACTCATGATGAATGATGAGTCTCCAGTGAGGGACGCAGCTAGACCGGTCTGGCAGGCGTGTGAGGAAACTCATTCATATCGCTGGTGTCCTCATAACAATGAGATTGTTACCGTCAAGACTCATTAATTCATCAATTTAATCATCACTCATTATGCCTTTTAGGCTTCAAGACGATGAGATTTGTTGGCATAATTACTCATAAACTAATTGCTGGTTATGTAAAGTAATTATGAGGAGAAAGATCTATTATATCAGGACTATATAAATTTGAGGACAAGGACCTGGGATATGAGGACAAGGAGCTGGGATATGAGGACAAGGAGCTGGGATATGAGGACAAGGAGCTGGGGTATGAGGACAAGGACCTGGGGTATGAGGACAAGGAGCTGGGATATGAGGACAAGGAGCTGGGATATGAGGACAAGGAGCTGGGGTATGAGGACAAGGAGCTGGGGTATGAGGACAAGGAGCTGGGATATGAGGACAAGGAGCTGGGATATGAGGACAAGGAGCTGGGGTATGAGGACAAGGAGCTGGGGTATGAGGACAAGGAGCTGGGATATGAGGACAAGGAGCTGGGATATGAGGACAAGGAGCTGGAATATGAGGACAAGGAGCTGGGATATGAGGACAAGGAGCTGGGGTATGAGGACAAGGAGCAGGGATATGAGGACAAGGAGCTGGGATATGAGGACAAGGAGCTGGGATATGAGGACAAGGAGCTGGGATATGAGGACAAGGAGCTGGGGTATGAGGACAAGGAGCTGGGGTATGAGGACAAGGAGCTGGGGTATGAGGACAAGGAGCTGGGGTATGAGGACAAGGAGCTGGAATATGAGGACAAGGAGCTGGGGTATGAGGACAAGGAGCTGGGGTATGAGGACATGGAGCTGGGATATGAGGACAAGGAGCTGGGATATGAGGACAAGGAGCTGGGGTATGAGGACAAGGAGCTGGGGTATGAGGACAAGGAGCTGAGATATGAGGACAAGGAGCTGGAATATGAGGACAAGGAGCTGGGATATGAGGACAAGGAGCTGTGATATGAGGACAAGGAGCTGGGATATGAGGACAATGAGCTGGGATATGAGGACAAGGAGCTGTGATATGAGGACAAGGAGCTGGGATATGAGGACAAGGAGCTGGGATATGAGGACAAGGAGCTGGGGTATGAGGACAAGGAGCTGGGGTATGAGGACAAGGAGCTGAGATATGAGGACAAGGAGCTGGAATATGAGGACAAGGAGCTGGGATATGAGGACAAGGAGCTGTGATATGAGGACAAGGAGCTGGGATATGAGGACAATGAGCTGGGATATGAGGACAAGGAGCTGTGATATGAGGACAAGGAGCTGGGATATGAGGACAAGGAGCTGGGATATGAGGACAAGGAGCTGGGGTATGAGGACAAGGAGCTGGGGTATGAGGACAAGGAGCTGGGATTTGAGGACAAGGAGCTGGGATATGAGGACAAGGAGCTGGGATATGAGGACAAGAAGCTGGGATATGAGGACAATGAGCTGGGATATGAGGACAAGGAGCTGGGATATGAGGACATGGAATTATAAATATATTTAAGACTTAAAATATAGAATTATTATATTTAAGACTTAAAATATAGAATTATTTAGACATTTAAGACTTAAAACATAGAATTATTTAGATATTTAAGACTTAAAATATAGAATTATTAAGATATCTAAGACTTAAAATATAGAATTATTAAGATATTTAAAACTTAAAATATAGAATTATTAAGATATTTAAAACTTAAAATATAGAATTATTAAGATAATTCAGTGGCTGTGGCTGTGTTTATTCACCATTGTATATGTGCCGAAGCGCTATGAGACGAGCACGAGACCATGATGCTCTTTTGCCCGTCCCACTGGACATTATATGGACATGATTGGACATTATATGGACATGATTGGACATTATATGGACATGATTGGACATTATATGGACATGATTGGACATTATATGGACATGATTGGACATTATATGGACATGATTGGACATTATATGGACATGATTGGACATTATATGGACATGATTGGACATTATATGGACATGATTGGACATTATATGGACATGATTGGACATTATATGGACATGATTGGACATATATGGACATGATTGGACATTATATGGACATGTTGGACATTATATGGAC